TTTAATCAAATTAAAATAATTAAAAAAATTAACTAAAATAACTAAATTTCTACATGAGACCTAAATATGATTTTAATGTTTTCCTTTTAAACATGTCAAAAAATGGACCAAACTGTGCCTAACTCTTTAGAGGATTGTTTAATCCTTATTTTCTATATATTCAAACTTTACGGTGGTTACATTTATGGCTCATTAGAGAAAATATTTTACGCACCTAGTACACGAAGTGGTGTGTTTTCATTCATTAGATTTAAATATATAGTAGATTTTTACAAAATATAATATATGTATCTTATTTTAATATATATATATATATATATCTTGTTAGGTGAGATTTGACTATAACAAAAGTCTCATTTTTTCATTGCAAGACAAATGATAACCCAATTTGATAGACTTTTTTTTAAATTAAAAGTTGATAATAAGAAAACAGAAATTAAAGGCACCCTTAGGCCTTGTTTGGGAAGTGACCGGTTTAGTCAAAAAATTAAAAGTTACTAAAAAAATTAAAAAGTCAATAACCCATACAAAAAAGTCAAATATTCTATTTTCTCTCTACTTTTTGCACATCTTTTCATAAAAAGTCAAAAAGTCATCCAAAACATAACATGTTTCCAAACGAGCTCCAACTTCTAAATAATTAATTTTTTTAACTTATTTAAACTATTTATGCCTAATAAACTATAAGCAGAAACTACACTAAACAATCTAGCACAGACTCCCAAATTGAAATAAGCTATAATCACCTCTCAAAAATTGTAACAAATAGCCCCAACATGATGTAGCCATTGCATAAAAATATTTTTTGAACCAAGTCAAATCCAATTTTACACTCAAAACCTACAATAAAGACTATTTAACAAACCCTCCCCCCTCTCTTGTCTATGGTTTTTAACAATTAGAGAGTCTTCCAAAAAGGGCATTACAATGAAGCCCTTTTCACCATTGTTGTTCTTTTTTCTCTTGTTTTTGGCAGGAGAAACATGTTCATGTTCTCTCCAACAGCAACAATTTTATGAATTCCAAAAAAAGATTCAACAGAAAACAACCACTGTTCTAGCTGCAAAGCCACAGCCATCTCCTGTGGCTCCAAATATAAAAAAGGTGACACAAATTTTTGTTCTTCTTTTCTTTTTTTTCAAAACATTTACATACACATATACGTAAGACGTGTTGGAGACATTGTTTTAAAATGTTCATTACCCAGAAACCAAAGTCATTGAGATTTTATTGATCAGCAATCCCAATGATCTTCTTGAGAACTTCTTTACGAAATTTTGTGTTTGATTTCAATTTGCCCTCATTTATAGAGAGTTAAGGCTATCAAAATTACCTGTCATGAATAAATAATTCACCTCTTTAAATGATACTTTTCAAATGAATAAATAATTTAATATTATTTATGATTCAGAATATTCATTTTTTGTTTCTACAGAGTAGGGAGAGAGTATTCTATCCAATTGTGTATGGGGCAGACCCAACAGGGGCGCAAGATAGCAGTGATGCAATACAGAGTGTATTGGAGGATGCTTTACAAGTGCAAAATCGGATTGAATTGTTGCCTGGAATCAAAGATTTGGGTGGTGTCATTGATTTGCAAGGTGGCAATTACTTGATCTCTAAACCCATAAGGTTCCCTTCTGGTATTGGCAATTTCCTGGTACCCCTCTCTCTCTCTCTCTCTGTCGCTCTCTCTGGGAGTCGCATGGCGCAAACGTTTTGCTTTTGTTTCAAACCTTTTTTAATTTTATTTTTGCACTTATTGATCTGAAGAGTTTTGGTGATCTGTTTAAAATGGGGGATGCACCAATAACTCCCAAATTAATAACTTATACACAGTTTAGTCCTAAAAGTTTTCTTATAGACTGAAAGGTCCCATTACAATGTTTCAAACATCAGATTAATGTTTCGAACATTAGATTTCAAACATCTAATGTTCATCAGATTTCAATAATGTTTGAAATTATAGGATGAATGTTTTAAACATTTGATTTCACACATCTAATGTTCATCAGATTTCAATAAATTTTGAAATTATAGAATGAAACATCAGATTCATTTACATCATGAACATCATGATGATGTATAAATGGGATTAAATGGAGCATAAGAAAACTTTTAAGACTAAATTATTCAACTTTTCAAAAACTAGGATTTATGGATAAATTTTCCTAAAATAAACTCATATGTATAGGTAAAAACTTAAATCATTAGATTATCACAACAAAATCATTACAAGAAAATTATGATGGAGGATTTGATCCGGAGATGGAAATACTTAATTATTGAAAAAAAATTACCAATAATACTCAGGATATAAATTAAATAGACACAATTACAGAAAGTGACAATCATGAGGCCCCACAAATGATGAAATTTTTTGAAACGGTAAGAATGTGTGCGCAGGGAGAATGTTCAATTTCTCTGCTTAAAAAGGGACTAAAATAAAGAGTTGCTCTGGTTTGTTGTCCTCCAAGGAATGCTTGAGGTTGACAAAAGGGGACATTTACCAAAACTTTTGAGAATTGTTTGAATATATAAAAGCTTTGAGATTGTGTTTTGTATTAATTTATATTTCAAAAGGACAGAATTGGATTTCACTATCAAACAAATATGTCTTCAATTAATGTTGGATACGTTACATTTTAGATGTTTAATAATATGTCTTCAATTTATGTTGGATACGTTACATTTTAAATGTTTAACATATAAGCCTCAAGGGTAGATAAGTGGTTTTAGGTTTTTTTTGCTAAACAAAGGATGCCATATTTCATTTCTCAAATTTTCTTGAAACTAATTTAAAAATTTATGTCAAATATTGATGTACTATTATTGTTTTATTAATATAATATTTTCCATTTTCAAAAAAAAAAAAAAATCTCTAAATTTGACTACAATTATAAATTGAAGACATATTATTAAACATCTAAAATGTAACGTATCCAATATAAATTGAAGACATATTTGTGAAATCCAATTTTGTTCTTTTCAAATATAAATTAATACAAAACACAATCTCAAAGTTTTTATATATTCAAACAATTCTCAAAAGTTTTGGTAAATGTCCCCTTTTGTCAACCTCAAGTATTCCTTGGAGGACAACAAACCAGAGCAACTCTTTATTTTAGTTCCTTTTTAAGCAGAGAAATTGAACCTTCTCCATGCGCACACATTCTTACCATTTCAAAAAATTTCATCATTTGTGGGGCCTCATGATTGTCACTTTCTGTAATTGTGTCTATTTAATTTATATCCTGAGTATTATTGGTAATTTTTTTTCAATAATTAAGTATTTCCATCTCCGGATCAAATCCTCCATCATAATTTTCTTGTAATGATTTTGTTGTGATAATCTAATGATTTAAGTTTTTACCTATACATATGAGTTTATTTTGTTGTGTCTATTTAATTTCATCTTTTAATTGGCACCACAATCCATCGGGAGTTCACTCTATGCTCTTTTCCTGTTAAAAGCACACCAGTATAAGCATCCCACTTTTTCTTTCGCCACCCCAAAATAGTATTTGTTATTATAAATGTTAAGCAGCACTAAAAGGCATAACATTTATTTTCTTCTCTCTTAAATCATTCGTCTCTGCACTTTTTGAGTCAGTTCATCAGAAGATAATGATTTTGTTGGCGTACAATTGGAGTAATGGGGCTGCAAGAAACACATTGCATAGAATAGCCTTCCAACCAAAAAAAAAAAGAAGATACCAACAAATACAAAACTCTATTAGAAAAGCCTGTTTCATAAAAGCACCCTCCATTGCCAGACAGTTACCACCCACCTCAATACATTGTGTATTGGAGAGAAGAGAACCTAGCAAAAGATGTATTTAGTTTGTTACATGGGGATATACCAAGTTGACCTTTAGCTTAAAATGGGCCACTTCATACTTTAATTTTCACATATTTAGATACAAAGACCTTACCCATAAAGAGAAAGCATACAAAGTTAAAGTTCATCAAACATGCAAATCTTGTTTATGACCTCTGAATCCTGCACAAGGTGATTTCACTCAACCAACTCATAAATTTTTTGGGGGGGGCTAAGTCGAAATACAAGTGGAAGGGTGAAAGTTGACATGGAGAGTCGAACTTAGAATACAAATCAATCATGCAGTCTCCAAACAGACTACAGAGTGTAGATAAGCTGTTTCTATTTCCGACAGATATCAAGGTTGAGTAGTATGCTGCTCTTCATGAGCCATTTGAAGCTAAGGCAAAATATGAATTTCATAAAATGAATTTTCAAAAAGAAAAGCATCAGCAATCTAAAATACGTACAACCAATCCTGCTCTTCAGTGACTTGCTGATCTCATTCTAGATATGACTACTTCACTAACAAAATTCTTTGAAATAAAGTCTTGCTCCACAAAGGAAGTTTACGATCAACTTGGTATATATGCCTCAACAAATCGATAGCGCTAAAATGGTCAGAACACACACACACACACACACACACACAAAAAAAAAAAAGACTAGTTAGTGAACTAAGTTGTAGGCATACCAGTCATAGAATTTTGTTCAAATGACACAGTTTATAAAAAAAATTAATCTGACACATACTAAACATAATATATCACATTGTGTCTAGAAATCAATGTAGAACACAAGCATAAGACCCTTTACAAGGACCTACCACATGAAGATATATCTAACATTAGACAGCAGGATATTTACTGGACACCTCAACACGGACACCAATAGATAGGAAAAAATAACCAAGCGTTTTGTTTTTCTCCATGGAGCATTATCCACACTATTTTGGGATGAAACACAAATCATACTTTATCATACAAGCCTTCCAAAATCCAAATCATTCATCTTCAGCTCACTCCAAGGCTGATTACAAGCACAAAAGTTCATTCTCCTCAATTTCACCATTGGTGTTCTTTGCTCATCTCCAAGTTCTCAATTAACCCTAGCTTGTTTCCACTGCAGACCTGGCTACTCCTATCCATACATCTTAATCCTGCTTACACATTTTTTGCTTGTGCCACAGCATTGCCTATAAAAGACAATATTCTAGTTGGTTGTCATGTTAGTTAACTGTGTTATTAGATACTGGTAACACCACTTCAAAGTCATACAAATCATAAAGAGGAAATAACAATGTTTTCGACTTTGAACAAATTTAGAAGTTACCTACCGATAGAAAACCACAAGAAGACTTCCAATTGTTGTTGAGGGGTCATCAACAGCAAAATCCAAGAGGCTCTTGTGGAGATATTTCTCTTCAACTGAATTCCATGGGAATTCTAACATTCGGTCAACCAAGTTTCTCCGGATACAAAGAAAACAAATTTCAGTCACCAGTGCCTCCACCAAAGTCCTGCACTCACCTTTTAAGTCGTCTGAGGAGCGCTGAGATGATCCATACTTCAACTTCTTTTCCTTAACTTTCATACAGAGCATTCTCTGGTACATAAATGCTTCGGTCAAAAGTCCACACTCCACTCTCACTCGAACTGCAGTGACAGCCTCACCAAGTGAAACCAACCGTGCTCCACCATCACACCCACACCACCTTAGAACCATAAGAGCAGCATCAGGATTTTTCCTTTCTAACAGAACTTGGGCAACCTTAGGATGAGTTGTTGGGCCTATAATTTCTGGAAGAAGGCGACAAGCTTCCTATGAGACAAAACATGTGAAGAACCATAAGCATACACAACGTCAAGACTCGAGCATAATTTGGATAACTCTGCCAGGATCAAAGGGCAGTCTACCTTGTTACCACCAGCATGATATCAAGGACTAGTCAGGTTATAATAGCCATATCGCATCTCAGTCTAGATACAGAAATGACACATGAATTTGGTCTAAATATATCCATCCATACCATCATTCCCAACCACAATTTGGAGATATTGAAGCATCAATCCAGGTAGTATGCTATAGGCAAGAAATATCACATGGTGAGAAACATTTGAATGTAAAGATTGGACAACGAACAAGCTTTCCTACCAAGGAAAAGAATAAATGCCCAGTAAATGACATTCAAAACGTAGAGTAACATTCATATTACAAAACCCTATTGCAACAAGAGAGAAAATATTCTAACAGAGTTCTCAAATCCATAAGCCTTGTCAACAACCCCTCAGCAGACAAGGTTCATTCCAGCCCTAAAATATCCCAAACTAAAACAAAGTTGGAGTAAAATTTACCTACACTATGTCCTTGCGAACCTATGAAATATGCTTCCCCTCACCAATAAAGACAATGAAAGGTCAACAGATTTGACATCTATGATAGATGAGCACTCACTAAGGAATTAGGAAGATTTAGTAAACAAATAGAGAACACAAATATTGCTATTTCAGCTACATAACTTCATGTAAAAATAAGGCCTACCACAAAAATATTTCATTTGTAAGAGGGGCCATGACTTTGAAAAGACAAATAACATATCCTTGCTAAGGAGAATATAAAAACCAACTTCAAATATTTCAGTTAAACTTTGATGTTAGCCAGATTAATCAACCTTCTTGTTTCTGCTTCAACATGTCATTTGAGAGCATTAATTCCAGTGTACGATTAATCGGCCACATTTAAGTCATCAAGGACTCATTTAAAACTACATAACAGATAATAGTGCAAGAAACACTCACCACTACACCTACATTCCAACCTTGTCTGTGAACTAAAGCATT